TGAGGTCAGGATTTCCTAATATGCATGTCTTATAGGCAGCTTTCTTGGGATAAAGACATGATTGCATTTGCAGACATGTACTTCTGTATAAAGGAACAAAAACTGAAAGGAAGAGGAACTTGCCGTGAGTCTGACATTGAAGTAAATCTGCTTTCCTACCCAGACTCTTCAGCTAATTACAAGCTTAAGGAAAACCACTTGGCTGTTAGGGATAGCAATTACAAGGGGAAGTTTGGGCTGGAAAGATGACTCAGGGGCGAAGGTGTTTACTGCCATTCTTAAGGCCTGAGTTCCATCCCCAAACCCTCAGGACTGAAGGAAAGAGTCGACCTTACAGTTTGTCCTCTTACCTACACATGTACATCGTGCCTGTGCCTCACTCAAACACACATAGAATAAATACATCAATGTTAAAAATAAAGAAGAGTAAGTTAGCTGCAACCCTAACACTTGATTTGTTTGTTTCCGAGACAGTGTCTCCCTGTACTGGAGGCTAGCCTTGAGCTCATCAGCTTCCCTGTGCTGGAATTAGAGGCATGAACCACTATATAGGATAGGGCCTTAGTACCAGCACTTTTAGCCATAGGGTTTTAAAATACAGATTCATCCAACACGGCTTATATATGGAATGCACTCTGAGCATAGTCAATGTGAGACTAACTTGTTTTGTTTTACTTAGGCAGAGCCTCCCTCAGTTGCCCAGGCTAGTCTGAAACTCACCATACAGTCTTCACTAGCCTTAGACTCCAGGCTACCCTTTGGCTTCAGGCTCCTAAGAGCTAAGAGTTACAGGTGTGAGCCTCCGCACCAGGTTTATTAAGCATTTTTTTAATCTCTGAGAGGAGGGTCAGCATATTGTCGAAGCAATGTAATCCAGTAATTTCATGATTTCTTCCATACATATTTCATCAGAGGCATGCCTTCCTATAAGTGTAAATTGCTAGTGACCTTCCTGGCGAGAAGGAGGCTTTGCCATGCCTCAGGGGAGCTTACTGTGGTCATCCACAACACCTGTCAGGGTACTCCACGCTGGATATTTATAATGCACGTATCCAGACTCCGTGGGCCCCTGGATCATTGTCCCAGGGACCGGCACTTCCTGCAGCTTGAGTGTATCTGTCATTATTACTTTTGGAAAACTAATGCTAACATCCACGTTTCCATAGTTGTTTGTGAACATGACTTGCGAATCTACAGGCTGACATTATAACTGTTCGTGGTGCTGCTGGCAGAGATTGGGTCTGATACATTCAGTTTCCTTTTTCTTTTTTATTTATTAATTTATTATGTATTCAGTATTCTGTCTGTGTGTATGTCTGCAGGCCAGAAGAGGGCACCAGACCCCATTACAGATGGTTGTGAGCCACCATGTGGTTGCCGGGAATTGAACTCAGGACCTTTGGAAGAGCAGGCGATGCTCTTAACCACTGAGCCATCTCTCCAGCCCTACACTCAGTTTTCTAATGTGCTTTTCGTCTTCCCTTTTTCTGCACTTCTAGCGGCATTCGTATTACTGACTTCAGCCTTTATTTAGAGAACTTGCTGTGTGGTAGTGGGTGATGGGATATGAATTCTGCAGATGAGAGACAGCCTAAAGTGATCAATTGCCATGTCATGCCCTGTTCAAAGGGAAAAACATTGCTTTCAGATAGAAAGTTTTATAGCAGGGAAGGCAGATCCGAGAAGAACCTTGGAAACTATCAGTTGAAAACCAGGAATGTAGTTCAGTGATGGACCATGTGCTAAGCATGTCCAAGGCCCTGGGTTCCATCCTCAGCACCACACACACACAACACACACGCGTATGCATACGCGTGCATGCACACACACCACAGACTATGAACAATGCAAATCTGTTTGTTGTTGGAGGCCTCTCGTTTGTTTCCCGACCACTCAGACTCCAACAAGGTTCTGGCGTCTATCTCCTCCAGGTGACGGCTACATGGCGTCTCACTGACTCTGCCTTCTTTCTCCCAGCATTCTGTTTAGTTTCCTCAGTTTAGTTTTCCCGCCTAGCTCTATTCTGCTAAGCCACTGGCCAAAACAGCTTTATTCATTAACCAATAAAAGCACCACATATACATAAGGACTTCTCACAACACGAGTCAGATTTTATTTGTAAAGGTAGAAGGGGTTCACCAGGAGAGCAGTTAGAGACAGAAAGTAGGGAGCCAGGAACTACATGGGAAGTATTTGAATTGTGCCCAACCAAATTTTAGTTAAGGGCAAGGGACCTGTGTTGCATGATAGCAAGAAAGGGAGAAAAGTGAGTAATGGACCGTGCAGTGGCGGGGTAAGTTCTAAAGAAAGAAGTTGGGTGGATAACAAGGACATCCAGCTTTTCTCAACAGAGAAGTAAGTGTTGTCTGAAGTCCAGGGACATACATTGGTATTAGAGATTCATTAACTAGAACCCTTTCCCAGACTGTGAGACCCAGTGCACCATGTTGTTTATTTACATACCATCTTTGTCTAGCCTAGGGTTTCTCAGCAGCTTCGACATTTGGGTTATCTGTTGTGAGACTGTATCAAGGATGTCCACCTGCACCCCTTACCAGCAGGTGCCAGTAGCACCCTTCACCCTAGCTGAGACTGTGCAGACATTGCCAGATGTGCTCTGGGGGCAGAGGTATCTGCATTTGCAAAATGCTGGTTTAGAACACATGGCAGTTACTTGGTGTCCTGAGTATTCGTAGATTCTTAGATTGAAAAGTCTGACACATCACTTTGAGGCAGGACCAAGGCCCTCCTCCCTATATCTAGGCTAAGCAAGGTATCCCGTCCAAAAGATTGGGCTCCAGAAAGCCAGTTAAAGCACTAGGGATAAATCCTGGTTTCACTGCCAGTGGCCCCACAGGCTGCCCCAACCACACAACTGTCACCCACATTCAGAGGGCTTAGTTCGATCCTATGCAAATTTTCCCACTGTCCGTGAGCTCTCACTAGCTCAAGTCAGCTGTTTCTGTGGGTACCACATCATGGTCTTGGCCCCTTTGCTCATATAATCCCTCCTCCCTCTCTTTGACTGGACTCTGGCCCAGTGCTTAGCTGTGGTTCTCTGTATCTGCTTCCATCAGTTGCTGGGTGAAGGTTCTATGATGATAAGGTAGACATCAATCTGACTACAGTACAAGGCCAGTTCAGGCGCCCTCTCTACTATTGCTTAGGGTCTTAGCTGGGGTCATCCTTGTGGATTCCTGGGGATTTCCTTAGTGTGAGGTTTTTGGATAGCCCCATAATGGCTCCCTCAATCAAGATATCTCCTTTCTTGCTCTCCCTCTCTGTCCTTCCCCCGTCTCGACCATCCCATTCCTTCACGTTCTCTTCTCTCTCCCCTTCTCCCTTCCCCTTCTACCCACTCTTCTCCTTCCCCCGCGCTCCCAGTTTTCTCGGGAGATTTATTTCCCCTTCCTAGGGGCATCCATGTATGTCTCTCTTAGGGTTCTCCTTGTTACCTAACTTCTCTGGAGTTGTGTTCTATAGGCTGATTAGCCTTTGCTTTATGTCTAATATCCACTTATGAGTGAGTACATACCATGCTTGTCTTTCTGGGTCTGGGTTACCTCACTCAGTATGGTTTTCTAGTTCCATCAATTTGCATGCAAATTTCAAGATGTCATTGTTTTTTACCACTGAGTAGTACTCCATTTGTGAATGTACCACATTTTCCTTATTTGTCCTTAATTGAGGGACACCTAGGTTGTTTCCAGGTTCTGGCTGTTACAAATAATGCTGCTATGAACATAGTTGAGCAAATGTCCTTGTAGTATGATTGAACATCCTTTGGGTATATCCCCAAGAGTGGTATTCCTGGGTCTTGAGGTAGATTGATTTCCGATTTTATGAGAAATCACCTTTACTGATTTCCAAAATTGGCTGTACAAATTTGCACTCCCACCAGTAACAGAGGAGTGTTCCCCCTACTCTGTATCCTCTCCAGCATAACCTGTCATCAGTGTTTTTGATGTTAGCCATTCTGACTGGTGTAAGATGGAATTTCAGAGTTGTTTTGATTTGCATTTCCCTGATGGCTAAGGATGTTGAGCAATTCCTTAAGCATCTTCCTGCCATTTTAGATTCTTCTGTTGAGAATTCTCTGTTCAGATCTGTACACCATTTTTGAATTGAATTGTTTTGGTATTTTGATGTCTAGTTTCTTGAGTTCTTTACATATTTTGGAGAGCAGTCCTCTGTCTGATGTGGGGTTGGTGAAGATGTTTTCCCATTCTGTAGGATGCCGCTTTGTCTTATCGACTATGTCTTCTTTGCCTTACAGAAGCTTTTCAGTTTCAGGAGGTCCCATTTATTGTTTCTCTCAGTGTCGGTGCTACTGGTGTTTTATTTAGGAAATGGTCTTCGGTGCCCATGCATTCAAGGGTACTTCCCACTTTTTCTTCTATGAGGTTCAGTGTGTCTGGATTTATATTGAGATCTTTGATCCGTTTGGACTTGAGGTTTGTGCATGGCAACAGATATGGATCTATTTGCAGTCTTCTGCAGTTGACATCCAGTTATGCCAACACCATTTATTAAAGATGCTTTCTTTTTTCCATTGTATAAGTTTAGCTTCCTTGTCAAAAATCAGGTGTTCATAGGTATGTGGATTAATATCAGGGTCTTCAGTATGATTCCATTGGTCCACCTGTCTGTTTTTATGCCGATATCAAGCTGTTCCTATCACTATAGCTCTATAGTAGAGAATACAGATATTTATATTATGATTCATAACAGTAACAAAATTACAGATATGAAGTAACAGTGAAAATAGTTTATGGTTGGTGATCAGCACAGTGTGAGAAACTATATTAAAAGGTCACAGCATTAGGGAGGTTGAGAACCATTGTCTTATAGTCTATAGTTCTGGTTCTATGTGCCAGATTTCAGGGTTTTGTTTTTACCACAGTTGAGCTAAAAATAAAAGTGTAGTGTTACATTGGAAAGATGAGTTGGGAGGTGTCCATGTGGCATTGTTCTAATTACTCTGATTTGTTCTCTTCTAGACTATTTAAAGAACCTCCTAGAAGACTCTGCGGACCACAGGGACACCCATGGTAACTAGCCTTTGCAGCCTTCTGTGGTACAAAAGCTTTTGTATTGTGTTGACTTAGACCCTGGAAGGAAAAATATACTTTGAAGAAAACCCTTATATGAAACTCCTTTTTAAAAGTTCCCTCGGGCAGATGAGACGGTAACTAGGGGAAGAGGCCAAGTGCTACTGGAGGCAGGTGATGGCGGTCCCTGGAGACCCCCAGGCTAGCCTTGAGGAGTGTGGGGGTGGGCCTGGCCTAGCCGAAGTTTCTTCCTTGTGTGCTCTGTTGTTCAATCTGTGGAGGTCCATTTCTCCATCTTTCAGAACCAGAGACTGAGCCAGATGATCCATTTCAAACTTGGAAATCATTTCCGTGAAGTAACTAAACCACAAGTCAAGGCTAAAGTTTAAGCCAGGCGTGGCGGCATACAGGTGTAATCCTAGTACTTGGGAAAACTAAGAAAGGATTGCCAAGAGTCTGAGACTAGCCTGGGCTACAGATTGACACCCTGGCTACAAACAAACAAAACAACCTATAAAAGGATAAAACCCAAATAGCCTTTTATTTGGAGAACATTTATTGCTAGAGGCTACATCCCCCTTAAATCTCAACACCCCACCCCACCCACACAAGGACAAGATTCATAATCATTGTTTCATCATCAATTTTTAAAACAAGGTTTGATTGTAATATAGGTTCATTTAAAAAAAGTTGATGTGTAGCCAAGGATGACCTTGAACTCCTATTCTCTGTCCTCAATGCTGTTATACCTGCTGTGCCGCCAAGTCTTGCTGTTCTGTTTTGAGGCAGAGTGGCCTCGAACTCATGGTCCTCTTGCCCTAGCCTCTTTTGAATGTTGGAATTATAAGCCTGTGCCTTTCTTGCAGGTTAGTTTCTTTGGTGTAATTGTTGTTTGTGATACTATAAATTCAATTCAGGACACATGCTAAGCAAATGCTCTACCACTGAGTGACGCCCACAGCTCAGACTTGAATTTTTAAAAACATTTTATTTCGAAAGAAAAGTTTGAGGTTGCCTAAACAATGTTTCATGTCTTCAGTGAATAGTATAGTTGATGAAGAAGTTTGAAATCTCCATCAAATAAAGAATACAGGCAACAGCTTTAGATATAAAAGAAAAGCAGTATTATCCCAGCTGAAGCAGAAGGATTACAGGTTTGAGGCCAACCTGTAACTACAGGTTTGAGGCAAGGCCTAGTCTAAATAACTAGGCAGATGCTTTTCTTTTCTATCTAGCTATAAAGATGCTGGGGGCTGGAACCTTTAAAAACACGTGTGAACGGCAAAGAGCTAATACAGATTGCAAACCAAAACTTGCCCATAAAGATAAATAACCCAGCCTACAAATTGATGCCTAGAGTTGCCATGCTAAGGTCTAGTGTGCTTTTGTGTGGCATTCTTCCTCTCTCTCCTCTCTCTCTCTTCTCTCCCTCCCTCTCCCTTTTCTTCTTTCCCTCCCTCCCTTTTTTCTCCTTCTCTGTTGAGGATGAAATGTAGAGCTTCTTATTTCTTTTATTCCTAATTCAGATTTCTTTAAATCAGTCTCAGAGAGGAAGGCTGAATCCCAGCCCTCTTCCAGTTCTGTTTTGGGAGGTCTTGGTTTATTGGCGCTTTGAACCAGGGCCGTAGGTGTGCAAAGTGCATGCTCTATCATTGAGCTGTCCTTCCAGTCTCTGACTCTCTTAAATAATTGTTTCACACAACTCCTGCTTGCTTTATCAGAATCATATCCCCCAGGACAGTTTCTAGTAGGAAAGGCCTGAGCTGCTAGGTAAAGTCTGTCCTTGCCCCTGTAAACGTCAACAGAGTAATCCAGTCTCAGCAAGCCACCTAACACAGGATCAGTGGTCTCCTTAGAGTTGTTCCTTAGTTTTGTTTGTTTTGTTTTTTCCTGTTTCCCCTGGTTATCCCCTCACTAAATCTTACTGTCTGCAGTTCCAGCTACCCACAGCCCCCAGCGTTTAATTGCTGTGTGGTAGGTCTTTTGTCAACTGGAACTGCTTAATATTGGAACCTGTTTGCTTCATTGGTAACAACCAAATGCCCTTTCTATTTCTGCATGTTTTAGATGCCCTAGCTGTTGTTATAGAGGTAGCTAACCATGCCAACGACACCATGAAGCAAGGGGTAAGTCTGGAAATCAAGGGCTGGCACACTATGGAACCTGGAAGCAGAGCCATCTCATTTCTCCCTTGTCTTTCTGTAGGACAACTTTCAGAAGCTTATGCAGATTCAATACAGCTTAAGTGGACACCACGAAATTGTGCAACCCGGGCGGGTAAGTGTTTTAGAATAGCGTCCACAGTTCGCGGCAGTGTAGCTGGGCGCTGTCAGCAACTGTTTTTGTTTTAGTTTTGAGAATGAGTAATGTTGCTCTTCAGAGACCTAATAGGCACCGTTCTGTCCATTCAAAACAGCATGGCGGAAGTCACAGTGACAAGCAGTCCACTTCAATTAGGAGAGAGGCAGAGGACCCCACGGAGTTCCAATAGAGTGATTTAATGGGATCATTTGATTCTGTAATACCATCTGAACTCACACAGCTTTGAAGGCAATGCCATTTAAAGGCTGTAGAGAGGCCTAGAAGGGAAAGATCACTGTTCGGATGCTCCTCTTAGAACGCAGAAGTGGTCCAAGCAATGAACTCAGGGATTTGCAACATGTAATTATCAGGTTGTTGGATGTACCTCAAGGTCAAGTATACATAGGCAGTTACATGTCATTCCCCAGACTACCCCTGGCGCCAGTACAGGAAGTGAGACTGATTCTTTATCACTTTTGGTTTCTTTCCGTTTTTTATCTTTTCAAGAAAAAAAATTAAGTTGCATCTGTGGGAGGAGGTGGTCAAAGGACAACTCTTGGGAGGGCTCTCTCCTACCATGTAAGCCTCAGGGATGAACTCAGGCTGTCAGGCTTTACAGTTGTTACCTTTACTCACTGAGCCATCGCACTGACCCCTTGTTACCTCTTTTTGAGACTGTCTCATCTAACTCAGGGTAGCCTTGAACTTATGCTCTTCCTACCTCTACCTCCCAAGTGCTGGAATTAGAGGATAGCACACCACCACATGCCTGGTTTGTTGAGGTGCTAAAAATCAAACCCAGAGTGTCATGCTTCTAGGTAAGCATCTTGCCAGCTGAGCAAATCGTCACTCTCTTTTTATCTGAAAGAAATATTTTATGCATATGAGTGTTTAACCTATGTATGTATGTGCACCACATGCCTGCAGTACTCTCAGAGGCCAGAAGAGGGTGTCGGATCTCCTGGAACTAGAGTTATAGGCTGCTGAGAGCTATACTCTGCAATATCAATTAGTAATCTTATCAATCTTATCCCCTGAGCCATTGCTTCAGCTCCCCACCTCCTGTTTTTAGTCTCATTTCTAAATCACTTGTAGGGCTTAGAAAGAAACCACGACTGTAAGTCACAAAGAAACACTTCTGGGAGAATGTTGGAAGGAAATCCTATGTGTGTTGTCGTTGTGTGGTAACGGGGGCACTAACTGAGTGTTTGCTTGGATGAATTAGGTTTTCCTCAAAGAAGGCACTCTCATGAAGCTGTCTCGGAAAGTCATGCAGCCCCGAATGTTTTTCCTGGTAAGAGGCCCTGTGTGGTTTGACATGTCCGGGTCATTGTTTAATGGAAGACATGATAGCAGGCAAGCTTAGTGCACCTTGCAGCTTGCTGGCATTTGGCAACCAGATTGCTTGTTTCAAGCGTAGGAAATGATAAGGTCTGTTAGGATGCTCCATCAGAAAAGTTTGTCTCTTAGTATTTAGTTAATTTTGTTTTATATGTGGAAGAATGGCTTTAATCAAATTATTTGTTCAGGCAGATTGTAATATTTTAGTGTGATTTAGAATTCATAAAAACTTTGAAATGAAGCACGTGCTTTAGAATTTTTCTGACAGGCAGTCTTTTCCCTTCATCCTTGTGCATTATTGATGTCTCTGTTGCTGGAATTGATTTTCGTAAGTGGCCTTGTGTTCCGTTTCTCCTTCCAGTTTAACGATGCCCTGCTGTACACAACACCCGTGCAGTCTGGGATGTACAAACTGAACAACATGCTCTCGCTGGCTGGAATGAAGGTCCGTGTGCATATTCATGTTTACTTACCCAGCATATGCAGAGAAGACCTGTAAGATAGTCGTCCTCGCTCCCCTCGCTCTTCTGTCTGTTTGCTGCTGCTCACGCACCCGTTCATTCCTGTCGGGGCCTCGCTCTTGCATTAGCTTATTCAAGGCATAGTTGCTGAGAGCTACGATAAACAAAAATAATGACAGATTTGCTAAAAATATGAACAGGCGAATTGAAGGATGGTTCATTTTCTGTTTGCTTTGTCCCAAACCTCCCTGTGCCCTGAGCCTTTGCGGTGATGCAGACATAGCACCTGAGCACATCATAAAGACCACTCCACGGGCGCACTAACACACCAACACAGTTAGAAGTGCATGGAGAGTGTGGCAGCACACACTTTCACTCTTGTCCCTTAGGAGGAGGAGGCAAGAGGAGCAGGATCTCGGGGGCTTTCTCAGCTACACATTAGTTTTAGGCTAGCTTCAACTACTTGAGATTCTGCCCAAATATAACAGAGATAAGTAAATAATTGGAGTTTAGAGAAAGGCAAGTTGGTGGTATTTGTCTTCAGTCCCCCATCCACAGGAGGCTGAGCTAGGAGGGTCATTTGAGATCAGGAGCTCAAAGACCTTCTGAGGTCTTGGTAGCATGATAGGACTATCATCTCAAACACACACACACACACACACACACACACACACACACATATTCATCTGTGTGTATGTGTGTGTGTCCGGGGTCTTTTTAAAAGGCTTGGTTTGGGGTTGTGCTTTTATTTTATTGACCAGGCTGGCCTATGTCATCGAGGCTGGTGTTGCTCCTTATCCTCCTGCCTTGATCTCTCAAGTGCTGGAATCACAGATGTGAGCAACCACACCAAGCTTTTTATGAGACAGAGTCGACTCTAGCACAGGCTAACTTAGAAATCAAGACGATCTGCCTTAGCTTCTTGAGTGCAGAGGTCACTGGTGTGAACTTCCACTGCCAAGAGTACGCATCTTTCAACAGGTGTGGTTGGTATACTGTTGTTGATAGACAGCTGGGAAATGCCTGGTGCTCTATAATGAAACCCTTTCCCAAATGAAACATAAAACAGAAACCACCAACTGAGAGAGAATCAGGGAAGCCTTTCTGGGGAAAGAAGGGCTTAGAGATGACCTAGGCCGTCATGCTAGGACATTGGGAAAGGCAGTGAATATTGTGATCTAAGGCTTGGAAATGGGGACATCGGGCCTGCGTGTGAATACTTAAATTCGTAGATGGCAGAGAATGGTGGAGAAATCTGAGTGAGGAGATTGGCTGCGGATATCAGCAGCCAGGGCCTAGGCAACTTCAGCTATTGTTGACATGTCAGATTTGCACAGGGTGAGTTTGCTAGACATTTGTGCCTTCTTCCAGGTCAGAAAGCCTACCCAGGAAGCCTATCAGAATGAACTGAAGATTGAAAGTGTGGAGCGTTCTTTCATCCTGTCAGCCAGGTAAGCGTGTGCGTGTGCCTGTGTGTGTGCGTGCGTGCGTGCGTGTGTGTGTGTGTGTGTGTGTGTGTAGTCATTACATAGTCACATACACTTACACACACATACCTGAAATGACATTTTGGCAGTATAGCTGGCTCAGATAGTTTTTATTTATTTATTCATTTTAAGTTTTAACATTTAGGTCAACTGCTAGATATTTTATTTATTCTTTTCCTAAACCCCTTCCCATTTGTGTATGCCATCAGGCACATGACAGAGCTGATACAAGAAATAGCAGTGTCCCTCTAGGTAGAATAGTAGTAATGCTGGGACTTGCTCTGCCGATCACCTTTTGTAAGTACTGCAAGGTCTTCCATAGTTTAACACATCATGTTTAAGAACACTTAGTCCTTTATACTTCACTAGAATGATTTCAGGTGTCACTTAAGGGCCGTAACCCATGTGATAGTAACATCTCCTTAAAAGTAAGGAAACCAAGTTACAAAAATGTCAGGTTGCTGTCAATATAGCTAACAAAGCCAGAATAGAAATCAGAGTCTTCTGCTTTTGATCTGTTACTGCTGTTGTGTAGGATACCAGGCTAACCTCAAACTGAAACTGGCAGTGACTTACACATGGTGAAAACATGTCATAAGGGTTTCATGGGACACACAGTCATTTGAGGTCATTCTCCTCTACATAGGAAGTTTGAGGCCAACCGTGATTTCCTTTCCCAGAACAACTGGAAAGCTATACTGAGAAGCAAGCATTAAGGAAACCCAAAGTGGTGTAGCTCTTACACAAACAAACCTCACTATTGCACTTCACTCTGCTTTGCAGAGACTGTGTGACTTAACGTGTGCTTGTTAATTGTTTGTTTTGAGGCCAGGTCTCCTGGCGCGGCCTAGCTGGCCCCCAGCTATCTGCAGTCCTCTGTCTCCTGTATTCCGGGATTACAGGCACACACCACCATGCCTACTTCAGTATTGTATATTCTATGAACTGAAAGTTTGTGGCAACTCTCCATGCAGTCTTCCAATGCCCCTTCCCTTTTCTTCTTATAAATTAAGGTTGTGTGTCTCTGTGTGTGTGTATGTGCACCTGTGCACCTAAAGAGGGCAGAGTAGAGCTCCAATTCCATTGGAACTGGACTGCAGGTGCTTGTGGAATTCTGAGCCTGTTAAGTGGGTGCTCGTGATTGCTCAGCAACATTTGTAACCACTGAGCCATCCTTTCAGGCCTCAGAACATTTCACTCCCGTGTGGACAGCACTTGGGGAGAGGTGATTGATTGAACACAGAAGGCGGAAGACAGGGTTATTCATCAAGAACTGACAGGCTTTATGGGCTGTGCCACCATTCACTGTGATAGGTAGCACTTGAAGGAAGCAGTTTAGGGGAAAATCAGGGGTTGGCATGCACACCGAGCATGGAGCCTCAGGCATGCAAGGATTTCCGTGTCAGAAGGACGCCTGGACTGGATGTATATGTGTGAGCACCATCCTCTTGGAGATGACCAGAGTATGGGACTGAATGAGGTGCACAGAGAGCCTGGCATTCCCTGTGAGACTGATTCTTCAGGTCCTGTCTGCCCTGGTACAGGCTTGTCCTGCCACCTACTTAAAACTGTCCCTCTGCGGTGCATGCTTCATATGCTCATTACTTTTTCACCACAGTAAGGTGTCGGCCCTTAGTTGAAGTATATTTTGTATGTCCAGTTCACAGCTCAGTCCCTAGCCTATCCAGTAAATGCATTCGGAAGAGTCACAGTAACGTGGCCTCTAAATATCAGCATTGCACCCTGCTGCCTGCACCAACATGGGTGTGGCCAGGTCTGATATACCAGAAATCCCTTCGATTGGCAGTTTTTCCTCTCAGCAATTCATTGCAATTGAGAGGAAAATAATTTTCCTTGACAAAAAAATTTGTCTTCTGATGATATATGCATTCTGTTAAAAAAACAAAGTACTCAGCCTGTTTGTCAGTTTGAGGAAGATGCAGATTCTTCTGCTGTGTTACAAAAGGCCTGAGATGCCAGCACTGGATGCTTCAGGCAAATGTGTGTGGTCTGTAAGAAATGTGTTATCAAGAGCTGGTAAACATTGTCTTGGCAGAAGCCCACACAAGGGAGCGCCAGGAATGATTTAAACAAAAGAACAACATATGCGACATGATTTGTGCAGTCAAATCACATTCCTCATGCTCCCCGGGCTCCAGAAAAATCCAACAGCAATTCTCAAATTAGCCATCTGCCTCTCTGTTCTCAGTTACTTGGAGCAAAACGTGGGCGGTGGAAGGAGAGCTAGTGACGATTCCTAAATGTTTGCCCAGAAGTCTAAGTGTCCGTTCCTGTGTTGTAGTTCTTCAGGGAACACACACCAGATGGCAATGACCTGGTGGGGAAGGGCTAAGCCCTTCACTACACTTGGGTCCCCTGTCAGCTCAGGACTCAGGAAACTGTCGTTAGTAAAGCCAGGGCCTCATATTGGAGGTCCACAGTTTTCTCATTGTCCACGTGGTGACAATGTCCGCTAATGCAGGGGTGGAAGTAAGAGGCAGTGGGTGTTCTAGGGGCTCCGAAGATGAGAAACGATGACATTTGGGAAGCATTTAGTGCTGTTGGCTGAGCACGGTAACTATTAATTGGCAGTTGTCTTTGGCAACAATGCTGGAATAGTAAAAGTAACAGGCAGATTTTATTTGGTTTAGAAAGAAAAGTGTTATTTCTTGTTTTGTTCTTTGTATGAAATAAAAATTTGGGAACCATTGATTTGTCAATATCATTTGTAATTTCTTCTATCAATATGAATAAATATCCTAAGTGGTATTTATCAGGGAACTACATTACTGGACATACTACGGGAAAGGCAAGTGATCCTTGTATCTTCTGCAGTAACAAGGGAGCTAAGCCTGTAGCAAGTCATAGTTAGTTTGAGTTCTTGGTCTGGGATTCCTGAGATCCTTCTGGGGTTGATCCTCCAGCCCTGGAAAAGGGGGAGGAAGACAAAACCACCACCCTGTGCCCATCCATATGTCTCTTTGTTCAGGGTTTTGCTTTGTTCTTATTTGATAGAATTGTTTATGCTTAAAATCTGAGTGAATAATATGATGAGCAGCAATGGGCTGGCCTTCTTACATTTTTCTAAAGTATTTTAAATCTAACTGAAGTTGCCAGGTCATTTTGCATACTTCAGTACCAGTCTCCAAAGACACAGGGATTTCCTTGCATTGTTAAGCTCCCACTGTGAAGGGTTTGTCTCATTATGATAGATTTTTAACTTGATTGTTAAAGTTCCTTCTCTCCTTCCTCTCCATGTATGTGTATAGATTATCATATTATGTCACCGAAAGTGTGCCTAGAGATTTTGAATATGCAAAACAAATTTAAAAGATTTTATAACTGTCTTGACACCAATCATGAATGGGCATTAATCACAAGTTTTGGAGGGGAGGCATGGTTGAGAAATGCAAAACCAGTTTGTTAGGCAGGCTCCTCTTCCCTGCCCTGTTCACATTACAGTTGGGTTAGAGACAGCTTCGGGGGGAGATGACTAGGAACAGCACTTTGTGCTGAGTAGTGGGCGGACCCTCACAGCCACACACAATCTCCTTTATTTACTGAGTCAGCTTATGGATTATGGTGCTAAAAATAGACCCTCATCACCCAACTGTCTACTGTCTTTCTGATCCTTTCATGGTGAACCTTCACATAGTATCTCAGGTTGTTGTGTGACTCCGTTTGTCCCAAATAGCTAACGGTTAACAAAGTTGGCAAAGACAGAGCAGTAGACCTGTATGTTTAAGTCAGCTGCTGCTGGCCTCAGTACACCTTAAATTTCAGTCATCAAGTTTGTTATTAGTAAATCCTATTTTTCATAAACAAGGATTGACTCCAAGTTACATATACACTGTGCTGTAGCAGATCAAATTTTTAAATAAGAGCTGAATCCAAGTTACATACAAGAATTTGTAGTAGTTAACTTTATCTATGTATATATTTTTTAACTCTCAACCTTTTCTGTTTCAAGTTTTAAGCTTTGTTTTAGATTTTACAGATTTTTAAGCCATACCCAACAAGCTTACAAATCTTGAAATACAGAAAGTTTACACCATTACCTTGAGATTTTTTTTTTTTTTTTTTGAGAGCAGAGAGATAGGGGATTTTTAAGAATGTAGAGCAGAGAAAATTTAAAGATAAGAGATTTTGGGGATCATTTGTGTGTGTGTGTGTGTGTGTGTGTGTGTAGTGGCAGAAATTGTTAAAAATCTGCGAGAGCCCAGCAGTGGTAACATATTCCTTTAATCTCAGCACTTGGAAGGCAGAGGCAGGTGGTTCTCTGAATTTGAGACCAACCTGGTCTATAGAGTAAATTCTAGTATAGCCAGGGCTACACAAAGAAACACTATCTCAAAAAACAAAAACTAAACAAATCTGTGAGAATTTGGAAATTGAGTGTGCCGTTTTTGAGCCATTGAGTTATACTGAGGCCAGACCATTTACAGTAAGATGGTGAGGCTTTAATGTAATCTTTGAGTCTCAGGAGGAAGGAGATTGGAGAAGGCAGGTGAATCAAGCTCCAGGAGTGAGCCAAGAGGCAGGTGGGAAGGGAGCCAGAGCAAAGGTGAGATGGGAGAGACTTAGCGAAAAGGGTTAGAAACAGGATCTTTTCCAGAGAGACAATTCCGCTAGTCAGGGAGGGGGAAGTGCCTTAGTGGAGGTGCCCCGAATCGCAGTGGAGAAGCATACAGCAGACCCCCATGAGGCAATGAGAGGCACGCCCCAAGAGCAGAGGGATGAGAGGATACTTACCACGTAGGCGGGAAGAGACATGAGCTCTTAGAGCAGGTGGAGGAGAAGCTGCTGAAGAGACAGGCTGTAAAATCTGGAGTTGAGTATGGTGGGTGGCAGAAGCCAGCAGAAACACATGTTTTATACCTTAGGGGATGCTTGTATTGGCACCAGACGTGGGGAAGGGTACAATAAAGAAACTTCCAGCATGACTGCTCCATGATATAGGAAGGTTGTTATTGTAGGAGAGAGAGAGGAGAGAGAGAGAGAGAGAGAGAGAGAGAGAGAGAGAGAGAGAGAGAGATTGGAAGGGGCACAGAATGAGAATATGGCGAGAATAGTGGGGGCGAGGGGAGACATTTGCCTTTATAAAGAGAACAAATGGGTCTCTGGAGGAAGGAAGCCTAGGGAGGTAGAAAGGGCTAGTATGCCGTCATGGACCTTGACACACACACACACACACACACACACACACACACACACACACACACACATATATTCCGTACTTGTGATACTGAGGGAGCCTGGATGCCAGTATGGGCTTTGATATGCAGTCACAAGTAGCTGTATGTCCCTTCTGCTATAGGTAAAGAAATTGACTCCTTTTGGAAGGACTACCCTTCGGACCTGGCCGGAGGGTGGTATTAGTTTCCAGGGAGAAGGAAAGGAGAAAGAAAGACAGAAGGACTCAGTGCTGATATGGTCTTGATGGAAACTTTTGCCCCCATCAGCTCTGCCACAGAACGAGATGAATGGCTGGAGGCCATATCCAGGGCGATAGAAGAGTATGCCAAGAAGAGGACCACCTTCTGCCCCAGCAGGAGTCTTGATGAGGTACTGTGCCCCCCTTCTAGGCTTGCTCAGGGTTTATAGAGGTTTAGAAAAGGAGTTGGAGGAGGTATGTGTGCACCTAGTTTCTCCTACTTATAAGACTGAAGTGTAGGAAATTTCATTTATTTTCTTGTGTGTCTGTGTATCTGTCTTTGTGTAGGGGGAGGAGTGTTAATGGGAGGTATTGTGTGTCTCTATGTGTGTGTCTGTATATGTGTCTGTGTATATAGAGGGGGGGGTATGTGTTTGTGTATGTGTTCCCGTGTATGTATGTGTATGTGTCTTTGTGTGTGAGTGTGTGGGGGGAGTATGTCTGTGTGTGTCTCTCTATGTGTCTCTGTATATGGAGAGGGAGGGAGTATGTGTCTGTATCTGTGTGTGTGTGTGTGTGTAAGAGAGAGAGAGAGAGAGAGAGAGAGAGAGAATGGGGAGGGAGTAGGTATGTGTCTCTGCATATCTGTGTATGTGTCTGTGTGTATGTTTGAATATGTGTGGGAAGGGAGTGTGTGTCTCTGCCTGTCTCTTTGTGTATTGTAGGGATTGAACTCAGGGCCTTCCTTAAACTAAGCATGCACCCTACCCCCGCTCTTTCCCCAGCTTTTCACTGTAGGAAACCGGGGGAGCAGGAATAGCTTAAGGAAGAAGCTAATCATCTCAGTACCATGAGCATCTTTTACAGATAATTTTGCAACAGAGCATTTTCAAATGTATTTAATCTTAATATACTGAGGACTTCAAATATCATGGTCCACTTCCCCTACCACATTTTAATGATGCCATCAGCCCTGGAGAAGGCCACTACAAAGACTTGATTCTGTCTCAGGCAGTGTGCACCCAGTAATCGGAAGCCATTTTTCTTCTACAGGACTTGGAGAAGAAAGAGGAAGTTAGTCCTCTCGGATCAAAGGCTCCCATCTGGATTCCTGATACCAGAGCCACCATGTGTATGATTTGCACAAGTGAATTTACTCTGACCTGGAGAAGACATCACTGCAGGGCCTGTGGAAAGGTCAGAAGGGACGGTCTCCATCCCTGTGGTGACGTCTATGTCTCTGGGCTGTGCACAGTGAGGAATACCCCCCAGAAGTCAGTGTAGCCTATGAAATGGACAGACAGTAGTTGTGAAAACAGCAGATGTCATTTTATCTGTGTATTCAGGGTTGGAGTAAGGAACATGGTTGGAAACTTTCCTTCCTCCACTCTGTACCCACAGTTAAAATATTTCTGCAGCCATAGAAAACCTATATTCAGAAATGAAAGCTAATCCAGGCATGGTGGCACGGGACTGTAAATCCCAGCCCTCAGAAGGCTGGAACCGGAAGAGCTCAGCAAGTTCAAAACCAACCTTTTTGTCTTAAAAAACAAAACAACCCACAGTTCTATAGACTCTTATTTATATTGCAGCTTAGTTTTTTTTTTTTTACATCTTTATGTAGACAAGGATCAGTAGGAAATCTGTATTTTTGCTGGCCTGGAACTCACTATGTAAACTAGGCTGGCCTTGAACTCACAGAACTCTACCTTCCCCTTCCTCCTGGATTCTGGGATTAAAGGTGTGTGCCATCACGCCTGCACCAATAAATCAATTTATAAGGAGAAAATTTGTATTTTGGCTCACACTTTTGGACTTAAGTCCTTGGTCAGTTGGCCTGTAGTGTTTGAGTTTAAGCAGCAAGTCCTGGAGAGAGCGTGTAGTTGGCAAAGTCATGTACTTAATTGGTAAAAGTGAAAAATATGGAGGAAATGACCCCTCAGTCTTCTTTGAAGGTACCCCACCCTTGTGACCTTTAGTTTCTGCCGCCTCCTACTAGTGCCCAAGTGGTGACTTTAAGGCATAGGTCCTTGGACGATATTTCCAATCCACACTGAAATATAAGCTCTCATGATTTCTTTAGCAGAATGAGCATTATAGTGGAGAGCTCCTTCAAGGATGAAACAGGGTCCCCTAACCTGGGAGGGTCGCAGAGAGTAGCTGTGGCTGTGGTAGGGACGGCGCGTAGGATGAAGGTGGTCAGTGAGACTGTCGGAAGACCCTGCACGCTGGGAACACGCTAGTGTTCTGGAGGCTGTGTGTGCTGGCTCTGCTGAGCACGGTGTTCATGGAGCAAATACTCGGGGTTAGTGGTCTGAGAGTTAGCCATGAGATAAGTGAGACTCAGTCACTGCCAAACTGTTGATGAATGGGCAGTGCCGTACACTGCAGCCTTTTCCATGCCTCGTCATCCAAGTCTTTCTGAATGAAATAATTGCAATGTGTTTTCAGATTGTGTGCCAAGCTTGCTCATCAAATAAGTACGGCTTAGATTACCTGAAAAGGCAACTGGCAAGAGTATGTGAACATTGCTTCCAAGAACTACAGAAATTAGGTAATATAACAGTAAACATGTAACCAAAGTCTCTCCCGCAGATCCTTTCAGCCTCCTAAAAGAACCATGTTTGGCAGAAGCATGGTTGCTAGACTTGTCTTACTTCCTAGTATGCTCTGACTTGAGCTTTACGATAATCCCAAGAGAAATTAGACTGAGCCTTTTTTTTTTTTTGGGTAACAGTTTTTACCAAAATAAAATGGTTTTAGTAAAAAAACTAATATCGAATTATTACTGAATGAAATGCTCAACACAGTTAAAAAGTAACTTTAATTTGTGAGCTATTTCAAAGTTTCAACTTATTATTTTTTATTTATATTCTCTTAGATTTATTTACTTTTGTGTATGAGTGTTTTGCCTGAATGAGTGTAGGGCCCACATGTGCGTATGGAACCCTGAGAGATCAGAAGTGGATATGGAATCCCCTGGAACTGGAGTCAAGAATGGTTGTTCTTTGTTCTCTGTGTAATACCAATGTGAAATGTTAGCATTCATTTCTAATCAGCCACCTCTGCTGGTCAGTAGATCTTGTCAATTTCATTTCAGAAAGTCTCACTTGTCTTGATTTTTTTCGTGTCAACCTTAATAAGGTCTAGATTACTCTGATAATGTCCTTCTACAAACCCCTCTTCCTGCCTACTACCTGCTTTATTTTTCTAAACTCAGTCTGGGAAGAATGTGACTTAGTGGGAAGGACCTGCCTAGCATGTGCAAGGCTCTCAGTTTGATCCTTAGCACCATGTAAAACAAAACTGTGAAACAGAAAATGATTGATTTAGGCAATATGGCTCACACTTGTAATCCCAGCACTCAGGAGGCTAAAGCAGGGAGACTGTCATGAGGCCAAACTATTCATATCCAACGCCCCACGCCCCAGCCTAAAGAGCATTCCAAATTACTTAGAGCCACCCCGCCCCGTTTTCCCCCCTAGCTTTATTATTCAGAAGCAGGTGTTCTGGTTTACACATCTCTTCCATTATCTAAATCAACCTCTTTATATCAGTAGGGAAATTTGTAAAATTAAGGGTGTACTTGTATGTTTTAGAATTACTTTGTTTACTTATTTATGGTTTACTGAGAGTCTCCTGTAACTCAGGTTGAGGTTGAACTTTATGGTAAGCAAGGATGGACCTTGAACTCCCAATCCTCCTACCTCTGGGTGACAGACACGTGGTACCATGTCCATCCCAAAGAATTTTTACTTTATGTTTTTGTGCTGAGGATTGAACCCAGAGCACTGAACATACAAAGCAGGCGCCGTCACTGAACAGCGTCTCCAGCTGTTTCAGAATTCTGAGGACACAGAAATAGGGTCTTTTCATATGGCCTGTAGTTCAAAAGTTCCGTATGGAATCAGCTCAACTCCTGCTCAGCTCTCGCTTCTGCCCTCGTTTCTTGAGCGCTCTTCCGTGGGTATTTTGTACATCATGCATGCTTGCTCCATGAGCACGCCGGCTCTGTTCTAGATCACCAGCTGTCCCCGAGGATTGGCTCTCCGGGGAATCACAAGTCTCCTTCAAGTGCCTTGTCATCGGTCTTGCACAGCATCCCAGCGGGGAGGAAACAGAAAAAGATCCCAGCTGCTCTCAAAGAAGTAAGTGTTTCCATTACACTCGACAAGGCTGAATTTCATAAAGAAAGATGTCGTTTCCCATTACTCTTCGGGCATGAATTTTGATACTCTGATGGATATGGCAGGTGCCTTGCAGTCTTTGTTCGTCTTCCTTATGACCTGAGTCATTGACAGATAGCTGCAGAAAACTTTGGGGAACATTTTATTGCAGTCATAGAAAGTAGATGTAGAACCTTTTTTTTTTTTTTTTTTGGTGCCTGTCCTGGAACTAGCTATTGTATACCAGGCTGGCCTTGAACTCACAGAGATCCTCCTGCCTCTGCCTCCCAAGTGCTGGGATTAAAGGCGTGCACCACTACCGCCCAGCTGGCGTAGAGTCATTGTAAAGGGGTCCTTTTTCATAGGGGAAAGTACAAACTCCTTAGCTTTTACTGATCCGTACTGTTTGGTTGGCTTCTATATGAAGCAGTTTAGGCCAATTTAGAGAATGCCTAAGAACTATCTATTCAATCCTTCGATTTTTGAATCTAAACTTTCCAATCCAACTTTGAGATCCTTGATAGGCATGATGGCTTAATATGTCTGTAGCCTCAGCTACTCAGTAGACTGAGGTAGGAGGGTCAGTTGAGCCTAGGAGTTTAGGGCCAGGCTAGGCAACATAGCAAGGCCCATCTCTAAAATGGAGAGGTAGAGGCAGGAGAATCAGGAGTTGAAGGCCACCCTCAGCTACACAATAAGTGTAAGGCTAACTTAAGTTATATAAGATCCTGTCTTAAGAATTCAGACATGCTGTGCAGTGGTGGCACACACCTTTAATCCCAGCACTCAGGTGCAGAGGCAGGTAGATCTCTGTGAGTTTAAGAGTTCTAGGACAGCCAAGGTTGTTACACAGAGAAACCCTGTCTCCAAAAAAAAAAAAAAAAAAACTCAGACACAAACAAAAAGTGATAAAAGTTTTTGTGAGCTGGGTAATTAAGTTGATTAATGTGATTTTTACTTTCGAAAAGATAATAGAGGAATATTTGTGGTCGATACTGGATGATTATTTTGTGGTGCGTGTATATTAATTCAGAAAGAGGAATGTGGGCCAGTAAGATTGCTCAGTGGGAAAGACACTTGCTGCCAGGTCTTGTATCCTGAGTTCAATGTCGGTCCTAACGGCCTAAATTTAACCCTCATGACCCACGTGGTAGAAGGAAAGAACTTAACTTCCACAAATTGCTGTCTAACCTCCACACGTGAGCCATGGAATGCATGTATTCGCACACACAAGAAGTAAATAAATGTAATTAAAATGTTTTAATGCATTTACTTTCATTTTATATATGTGTTTGCCTCGTGTAATCTGTGTACCATCCCAATGCAATCTGTACACTGAAGCGTTAATCTAATTAATCTTAACCAACATAAACCAGGAGTCAAATATTGGGGTAAGAACGTGGAAGATCAGAAAACTAGGAACAGCCTCCAGTTGCTTCCCACCTGTCTCCTTCCTTCATCCAAAAGGGCTGATCCACCTTTCCACTTCCTGTCTCCACCTCCCAAGTTCTGGGAGTAAAGGCTTCAGCCACCACAGCCCAGCTTCTGTGGTTAACAAGTGGCTAGCTCCACCCTCTGATCTCCGGGCAAGCTTTATTTGTCAGAACACAAACCCAACATCACACAACAGTGCACCATAGACTCTGAAATGTCTAATGGGTACCTGTGGTACTGAGGAAGCCTGGGCTAGCTGGTGAAATGCTGAAAGGCACCCTATAGACATTTGTCCCTTCTGCCAGAGGTAAGGGAAATGACTCCCTTTGGCAGATGGGAACCAGTTTCGCAGGTTCCTGAGGCCTGCTGTCAGAGTCCTCCTACAGTTCAGGCTGAGCTCATCTCTGGATATCTAGATTGCCCTCTGGAATGTGGAGAACTGGAGTTTCCTCGGGACCTGACATTCTCACGTCCCTGTCCCACAATCTGAAGTCTATCAGCGGGGAATGACAAGCCTTCCTTTTAGAGATGATCCCATTTTTTGCCTGGCTTACCCATTCCTACATTTGCTTGTCTTTGTGGGCTCAGCTGTGTTCTCTGGTTTGGCAGAGGAGAAATGATCAAAGCCTACCAAATGCTTTTCTCAGGCGGCATTTTGGAGACCACATGTGTTATCTGTTGCTCAGATCTACATAGCAAGCTCCAGGCCGGTCAAGGCTACCCAGAAAGACCTTGGCAAGAGCAGGAGCAAGGGAGAGAGGAGAGAGCGAGAGAGAACAGTAACCCTCCTGTGCTGTGATTAAGGCATGAGCCTCCACGCTTCTCTTGAAAACCCTATTAATGGAAGTGATTTAAGCACAGGTGTTTGTTCTTCGCATCCTAGCCCGTCTTACCTCACCTACCCGAAACTCCTCCAGCCCAGAGGCTTCCTGTAACTCCGCTCTCCCCACTGTGTTCTCTCTAGTCTTTATTTCCTACTAGTCTCTGCATTCTGGCGAGTAGCCCTGGTCGGTCATGTTCAGTCTCCTTCCTTCTGTCTCTACTCCTGACTTCCAGTTGCCTCTGGCTGTCATTACATCTGCAATAAAAACCTTAACTGTATCACGGGGCAGTCATGTGGGCAATTACTTTCTCGCTAGTCTCTATTTTCTCTTGGTCTCTCCAGCTTGGCAAGCAGCCCTCACCGTGTTCAATTGCCTCAGTTTCTGCTCCTGACTTCTAGTTGCCTCTGACTGTTCTTACATCTACAATAAAAACCTTCACCATATCATGGGACAGTCGTGTGGGTAATTTCTTTCCTGCACCCCTCAAATACAGAGAACACCCAGTGTCATTCTGAAATGTCCTTATGGTTGTTGCTTTCAACAGCTGGTGTTTTGAGCTCGGCTCTCTGTTGTGCTGTTGTTCTTGAAAAGTAGCCTGTGACCCACTGAGGCCCGCGGACTTCCTTTTCCAGGTATCCGCAAACACGGAAGACTCCACCATGAGTGGTTACCTTTACAGATCCAAGGGCAGCAAGAAGCCATGGAAACACTTGTGGTTCGTCATCAAAAACAAAGTACTCTACACATACGCTGCAAGTGAGGTAAGATGGACGCTTAAGAGGGACTTTGGGGTTTTGTTTTAGTTTTATGGAGTTTGTTGGAGGGTTTTGCTTTGTGCAGAGCTGAGGTTGGCCTGGGCATGCCAAGCAAGTACTGTTTTAGACAGAGAAAGGTGCTTGTTTTGTTTTTGAGGCAGTGCTCACCGAATAGCCCAGGTTGGTTTATAATTCGCCATTTATCCCAGATTGTCTGTCCTCGAACTCACAGTCATTCTCCTGCCTCAACCCATCCAATGCTAGGATTACAGGTGTGTGCCACCATGCCTTTCCTATTACTAGTACTTTTTGTGGGGGAACCAAGGGTTCAAGATGGGGTCTCTCGGTGTAGCCCTGGCTGTACTGGAACTCACTCTGTAGACCAGGTGGTTTTGAACTCAGAGATCCCGAGCGCTGGGATTAAAGGTGTGCACTACCACTGCCGGTATTACTAGTACTTTTAATGGGAATAGTATTATTCTTTTTTTTTTTCATGAACTCTTACTCCAGTGTTAGGAATTTTGGAGAGTACTAAAATGCAGATGTTTCTATTGTCTTGTAACTGCCATTTCTCACAGGACAGGGATTACCCTCTCTTCTAGCCTCTCTTGGTGTCCCCAGCTCAGCGTTGTCATCAACTGTCTCCAACTGCCTTTATCTGTGTCCCAGCAGCCTATGAAGGCCTTAGGGGAGCAGGGTGTGGTAGCACCTGCCTGCAACCAAGCAGTTGGAGGATAGGAGCAGGAGACTCAGGAGTTCAAGGTCAGCCTCAGTTATGTGGAGTTTGAGACCACCTTGAGTTACCTGAGACTCTAAAAGAAAAGGAGGGAGGACCAGGCATCGTGGCACACACCTTTAATTCCAGCGTTTAGAGGCAGCGGCAGGTGGACCTTTGAGACTTCCAAGCCAGCCAGGGCTTCATGTTAGAGATAAACAAAACTTGTGGAGAATCCAGGCAGAAAAATCCCTGTGAGCTCCAGGTCCGCTTGGGCTGTAGAGTGAGACCTCGTCTCAACAACCAGGCAGAATCCTAGAGTTCCTCAGTGGGATCTGAGCCAGTCACCTACTGCTTAAGTACTTGGTGTCTGCATCCACAAACTGCTCACTGCTGACTCAGTAAAAATGAGCTGCTAGAATCGCAGTGTTGTCTACGAAATTGAGCTGTGTAGGCCAAGGCTTTTCAAGCCTGAATTGCATCTAACCCTGAAAGCCCATCTCCCCTTGTCTGTTTCTTAGGATGTGGCCGCTTTGGAGAGCCAGCCTCTGCTAGGGTTTACCGTCACTCAAGTCAGAGACGAGAACTCAGAGTCGAGAGTGTTTCAGCTGCTGCACAAGGGCATGGTGTTTTACGTGTTTAAGGCAGACGATGCCCACTCCACGCAGAAGTAAGTTGTGCAGATTTCCCCCTTGTTGTTCTAAATGACATTTTAAAAGCACACAGAACAACTCTCGGAGTTCCAAGTTTGAAAGATGTAACCTGTTATTCGGATGATTTAAAAACAGGAGATGAAAGAAAATCGGTAGTCCTGTCCATTGTGTGTGCGTGTGCACACGCGTGACCTGGGAGGAAGCACTGGAGCTCTGCTCTGAGGGAGGCAGAAGTGCAGGCGGAGCCCTGGCCTTTGGTGACAGTAGCTGAAATCCCCCATCCAGGTGTTTTGTGCACTAGCAGGACTGAAAAACGAGTCTGCTGGCTAATTTACGACTGTGCAGGGAAAATCAAACACATTGAGAGACTCACAGTTGTTTCCAGGCACTGAGTAGAAGGAAACAGTTATAGTTTTAGATGGTCAAGGCACAAGCAGTCTCTTCAGAATCCCAGCAAGAATCTTCATTTGAGGTGTTGAGAGACCTTTTAACCTTAAGGTGGTGTAGCCGTGAAGGGCCCCCCTCTGAGCAGGTAGCTCGGCTCACCTCTCCTCTCATCTGACTTAGTCCACCCCAGAGAGCGTACCTGTGTCCATGTTTTCTCAGCAGGCTTTAAAGTTAAGTGCTTGGGATACACGGGAGCACTTTGAGGATTAGCAGGGTGGGCAGTTTTGTAGGCAGTTAAGAGTTAATGTGCTAGAATTGCCTGTGTTCCTGAGTACCAAGCAGGCACTGTGCTACACTCTGAGAGACTCCCCCTGCCTCCATCTGCTTTAGGGTATGCAGTGATGTATAGCTTTTTATCCAAATAAATTGAGAATTAAATTGCTTATTTGTGATAAGGTTTTATTAGATTTGATTTGGGGTGTGTGTCTGTATTTGGGTGTTTGTCTGCATGTATGTATGTGCACCACATGTGTGCCTGGTGGAGGTTGGAAGAGATGATCAGATCCTCTGGAACTGGAGATACATGCAAATGGTTGTGAGCCACCGTATGGGTACTGGGAGCTGAACCTGGCTCCTAGAGCAGCCAGTGTGCTCTTCAGTGTTGAGCATCCCTCCAGCCTCTGGGGGACTCTTAAAGGTGTTCTGCTGCAGTACAACATATGCTGTCTGCTCCTAAAGTCTGAAGTTTTGGAAATTCTGTCCTTGAAATTTGAGCTGAATATGTTACAGGCTACTGAGAAATGTAGTGATTTCAGATGTTGATGGCTTGCTCCAGTCCTTTCTTCTGTAATCTGTCACCATAAGAAGTCATTTGTCAGTAAGCGGAGGGGTGGAGTGGGTTCCAGGGAGTCCAGGTAGCCAAGAGCAAATGGAGACAGGACGAGCATATCCCGAGTGACCGCAGCTGTGTGCTGTCAGATGAGAACTGGAGACGCGAGAATTTGTGATCACGTCTGTGAGATTGTGGAAAGCTTTGTATCATATGGAAATTCTTGATCTTAGAACAGACGAAATGCCAGATCAGTTCCCTTTCATTGAAAAATTTGGAACAAGTTTGATTTAAGGGACCAGTAAGGGGATTTTGGTTGATAGACTTAAGGGGAAGAACAAATCCATAGCTAGTTTCCAAAACTCACCAAGTCAGACACTAGACAGGAAAGGAATCATGATAAGAACCTTTGTTGACACATCCCTTCCGAAGCCCAGTAAATACACATGTGTGTGCACATGTGCACACACACTTAACATGTGTGCAGGTGACATCAGTGTGGAGGTCAGAGGATAACCTGCAGGAGCCAGTTCCCACCTTCCACCATGTAGGTCCCGGGGACAAGACTCAGGTTGTCAGACTTGGTGGCAAGTGCCTTTACCTACTGTGCCTTCTCATTCATCCTGAGGCATTCTAAAAGGTTTACACATAAAATATCAATGCCACAAAGAACACATTTTCCAGGCCAGATGTTGGATCACATTACCAAACAAAGGGTGGCTCCCTGTATAAGAACTCCTGTGTCTGTAGGAAAGGTTTCAGTCAGCGGTCAGAGGTGTCCCAGGTCTAACAGTTCTCCCTCGTTGCCAGGTGGATAGAAGCATTTCAGGAGGGCACAGTGTTGTAGCAGCGTTGGCTTCCTTTCCTCCGTGGTCCGACAAGGTGGAGGCGCAGCTCGGCGGAATGGGGTCAGAGCTCTTCGGAAGGCACGCGGAAAAGAACACTGCCAAGATAACCCGCCCTCAGCCGTTAGCAGATAAACTGTTTTGTTAGGGATATGCAGTTCTTAAAGATGTTTTTCATGTGTTATTTATTAAAATGCCGATGTTTACTTGCTGGTCAGAACTGTTTCTGAGACTCACACTGAACCCTAAAGTACTGTTTAGAGACGCGAACTTACCGTAATACTGTACACTGTACACTGCGGATGTACTTGGCCATGCTGTTGTCTCTGCCTTACATCCTGACGCTCTCACTGTTGGTTAAGTCTTTGCAAGTAACACACACATATTAAGGAGCAAATTTCCATGCAATGTTTGGTGTAGAAATTGCTGGGTGAAAGTGCAGACTTTTGCATCACTAACCCGAGATGGAAATGTTGATATTGCAATAGAGATCCACATAGCAAGCTTCTACCTCAGTACCTGTGAAGTGAAATGCCAGCCGTCTGTACTGCTAACTGTGCAGCTCAGGCAAACCTTGAGCTGCGGTCTTCTGCCTCAGCCTCTGAGCAGCTGGAACTAAAGGCCTGCACCACTGCGCCTGCTCTGTATTTAAAACTGCCAGTTCAGTGTAAATGTGATTTTTATTCCCTTGGTTTTCTGAGACAGAGGCTCACTCTGGAGTCCAGGCTGCCCTGGAGCTCATTATGTAACCTACGCTAGCCTGGGATTCACTTGCTCGGGGTTTTGAAGTGCGGGGCTACATATGTGTGCCTCCAAGCTCAGTGATCAAAATATGGCGGGGAACGTGCTACCTAGAATCCCCTGCTATTCTTAAGAGTTCAGAGCCCAAGTCATTGGTGGTATTTATACCTAAAAGGATGTTATATTTTCTATAAAATGTATTTTTAAAGTGATCTCGAATCAGTGACACTTTTTAAAGGAAATTTTATGCAACTTTGATTTGTTCCCCTTGAATTTCAAAATTCCCTCTTCCTCTCACCTTCTGTCTCCTTTGAGACACAGGCCTTCCTTGTAGCCCAGGCTATCTCCACCCATTGTCATGCCTCAGTTCCCATGTCCACACTGAACTTTGCCAGTCTGTGTCCCTCACTAGGAAAGGTTCATATTCTTGATTCTGGCCCACTTCCTGTCTAACATGTAAACCCCCTTGCACATAGCCTTGTTGATTAGCAGCAGCAGAACGAAGCTACCACGCTCGAAACTGTTTCAGTGTTTAAATAGTTTGTTGACTTAGTTTAAACTGTCACCTAAAACTTAAGGTTATCCATAGACTATTACATTAAAGGAAGCAAGACATTTCTGGTTCTTTATATATGATTTTTAATTCTGCAAGAGATTTCTGGTTCTTTATGATTTTTAATTTAGTGTGATGTCAAAAGTTGGAAAGTATATCCTGAATACTATTTTTTCATTTTGAACACATTCATGAGGCCTTTTTGGATGCCATTTGCTACAGATAATGTAGACCTAAGGTAACGGATGTAGTTTTTCTTGGCTGTTTCTGGCTATGGCATAATTTGAAGTCCTGTGCAATCTCATAGAACCCCACATGCAACCTTCCTTGTCATGGGAGGTGAATCCGTCCTTTGCAACTTATTTTAATTGGGTCACGTAAATGTTTTCCATGTAAACGTCTGTGTGATTTGTGTGGTATATTCCTTTGGAGACCAGGGTAATTTATAGTTTATATTTCTTCCACCTTTTACCCTCTTTGAATTCTCAACCTCTTTAAGATTTGCTCATGAGCCTCAAAAAGTCTAAGAAGTCTTAGCCAGTATTCTGAACCAAGAATCTCTTCGAAATCTAAATGTATATAAAGAGAACTTAGCACACAAAGTAATTTGTATGTAGTGAAATTTGTATCTGATTATAATTGCCAATTGCTTAGTCCTATGGAAAGTTTTGGAAAAGACAATATACAAACTCTCAGATAGTGCCCCCCCATAAAAACATTCTAAATGTGGAGTGAGACCGCATTCCCTACCCCTCCTGATCCCTTCATAACCTAGTAAATATGGTCAATAATTCATTTAACCTGACTCGTTCAATGGCAAATATTTATAATTTGCCATAAAACTACTTTGAAAAGTATTTCTGAACCCAGAGTCTCTGGGCAGACACTGTACCCATGAACTACATCCATTGCTAACATTTAACAGTGAATAACACCAGCGCAGTCTGGAACATCTCAATTGTGGAATGTTGCTCAGCACACATACATGTGCTACCCTCAAACCTTGCTCAGGTGTCTCCTAAGCACAGATAGAGATGGCAGGCTGATGAAGGAGAGGTGATATTCTCAGTGTCCCTAAGCAGTGCCCCTCTGTCTGCAGCAGCTGAAAGCAGAAGTCCCCTACCCCACATCCTAAGAGAATGAAAAGGCCATTTTTACATTATACCCTGTTTCTGAACCTCTTTCCATTTTTGGTGTAACGAGCATCGTTCTGTTTTCCCTGATGGCCCTAGTTTTCTCCGGGAAGAAGCTTGATTCTTTACTTGCTAACATTTTTAAAAATGAGGTCAGAGGACAAAGACTCAAATTCTGCTTTTGTTAGCAAAATATCTAGTAGGCCCCCTAGGGGTGGAGGAAGCCTCCTGTTTGAGAACCTGATGTCGTCGTCACAGCATATGGGAATGAGTCTTGCATGTGCTCCAAATGTGCCCCTCGTAGTCAGGTCACTGGAATTTCCTATATCATTGTTCTATGTGATCCTTAAGGATAGATAATGTATTTATTCTATCCATTTCTCTTGGTTCTTTGGACCTTTAGTTAAAATAGGACGAGATTCCCAAGGTGTTTTGAGTAAGAATCTATTTTCCTCAAGCCAGCTCCCCTGCCTCATCCTCACCATGCCCCTGCCTCAGTCACAGGACTCAGCTGCCACTGACACAGTCTCCAAAGCCCTTATTCTAACTCAGCTCTTGAGTCCACTCTCTTCACCATCCTGCAGTCCACGTCGATGGCCTGGCTGACACTCATCTTGCTTCCATCCAAGCCTGTTTTCTTCTGTTCGAAAGGACACCATGTGGGGCTCTAGTATCTGACTCTTAGGTCCCCCGCGTCTTTCCAGCCCTGTTTCCCTGCCCTTACATAGCCCTTACCGTCGCTAGCGCTTCCTCACAGTGCTGGGGGCACCACGTAGTGGCACACCACCTACATATATGCAGCCCAGGTTCAGTCCCATATCTAGAAAACCAATTCTGTTTTCTGACTTCAGCGCCTCCTTTGTGTGGTCTGTTTTAAACCTTGCCAAGGCAATCTGCCGAAAGCAGAATTCCCATCTAATTCCTATTCCTGTAGGCTTCAGTGGCACTCCCACTTTGGCATGGAGCAACTCCTCCGATCCCAGGCACGCCAAGTGAACCCGCGTCAGCCTCTCTCCGTGCATAGCTCCCTTTCTCACATCAATCAGCACGGCTCCCTTTTCTTGTGATCTGACACTTCAGTGATGGGATTCTTTTTCCCTCCTCTCCTCTAGACTAGATGCTCTCGTTCCTGTGTCCTGTGTCTTCAGTTCCTAGACCGACTGGCATCCTTCTTACCACACTCAGTCCCCTGGGGGCTTATCACATGTAATAACAATGCCTTACACGCAGTGGATAGATGTTTGTTTGTTGAATATCTTCTCCTGGCTCCTAAAAAGTATCTTCAATCCACATACTCTGGAGCCTTTGCCACTTTTAACGTTATTTTCTAAGCGACAATCTGTGGTGTTTTTTCTAGTTACTTCTAGGACAGAATCTTAAGAAGGGAAACAAGTTTATGTCCTATACTGCAGTGACAGCTGTGGTTCTGATGGTAACTTGCCTTCTAGAAAAAAATAAAAGATAAAGGTAATAGCTTTTTAAAAAGAACTAAATATAAAAATATTTTTTTCTCCTTTGGAGTGAGGAGTGGAGGGAGACACCATTCCCTTTCATGGAGTCTCTTGCTGTATGTGTGAACCAGTTTCAAAATACTTTTTAAATGTCTCTTAATGTTTTCCTCAAAACACTTTTTTACTTAAAGTGATAATGGTTTGTATCTTACTGTTCATATAAAGATAGTTTATAAATAAAAATAGCATTGTAAATAATGTTAATATGTATTATAATTTATACAAAATAAATTTACTATAATATCTACTGCTGGTGTGGAGTCCCTTATTAGAGTTATTTTTAACACCATGTCATCCAAACTGGCCTTCAGCTTTCAGACCTTCCCCTCAGCCTCTTTACTAACTGGGATTATAGGCATGAGCTGCCAAGCCCAGCTTTAATGAAGTCTTTAAAGCCGTACCTTTCAGGTGAACCTCACTAGCCCCCTGTTGCTAAAGTATGATCAAGGGAGATATGTCACCTAGAGTAATGTTCCCAAAGTGGTTTATGTTACCAAGACTGATTTATTTGGTTAGTTTTTTTTTTTTTTTTTTTTGCCTACTACTCTACGCAGATCTACGGTGGACGGTGGGAGACTGTGTTGTGTGCGGTCGTTCTGCAGGCCGCCGGCTGGACGGCGCTGACTGACGGTATATGGAACTACATGCGGTGCTGGGCCGGGGATCGAACTCGGGTCCTCGGGTGGAGCGGTCGGGCGCTCTGCCCCCTGAGCCGTCTCTCTCCGGCCTTATTTGGTTAGTTTTGAGACAGGATCTCACCCTGGCCTAATAGTCATAGGAATGTGCCTGCCTCACCCTACGAAGTAGGCGTTACAAGCGTGAACCATTGTGCCCCGCCCAAGTTTTAATAAATCAGCCTCTTGCGACTTAAGTACATTAACTGGAAAAAGCACCCTTTGGCCATGTGTATTAAGGACTGAGAATAAAGAAAACATGGCAAGTGCCTTTTCTCTTGAACCCAGCATGCTTTCATAGTTTACACATTTGGGACCAGCTTGAGGGTATTGGGAGGGTTGTGTTGTGCCCAGATCACACAACACTAAAAGGTAGAGGTGGACTCTCAGAGAACTAAATATGAAACGGTTCTAATTGGTATGGAAGGCTGCATGTCCCTTTTCTATGTCTAAATCCTTCATTTCATTGGAAAATGGCAACACTTTTTTTTTAAGATGTAGCTCAGGCTACCTTCAAACTGTTGCCATGGATTGTAGTGCCCATGCTACTACAGGTTGGTATGTGAGCTGGGAACTAGGCAGAAGATTTAAACACACACACACACACACACACACACACACACACACACGGGAGGGGAGGCAGGGACATGGGTCATCCTTGATACAAGACGCCCCTTTATTGTGCTCCAGGGAAGCTTATATAGGGATCCTTAACTGATAGCCACGCCCAGCTCTTGGGATTTCCAGCTGTAAAACCCACCAGAATTCACTCCCCTGCCATCAGGAACTCAAGAGGGTCTCGTGCTCAGAGCAGCTGCAGGCACAGGAAAACAAGTTGTTTTGCTCCGTTCACTCCAGCAGGCGAAGGGTCTGAGGCAGGCAAAGAAAGTTAGGGGGCCAGGGGTTTGCAGCCCCCAACAATGGATGGCTTTGAGCGCCTGTTCCTCCAGCCTCTGCCTCCCAAGTGTTGGGATTACAGGCATGAGGGACCAGAAACAGGGGACAACAATTATTCTGCTCAGCACAACAGAGTTTTGGTCTGCCGCCCCAACTTGGATTTCTGCTCTGAATCTACAGGGCTTATCTAGATGCAAAGGAAATTTCCAGCTCACTTCATCTTAAAGTCTGGACCACACAGTACTTAGAACGCAGGGCAGAGCTTTCTGCCACAGGTGATGTTCCATAGGTGATGGACGTGATGTTCCATCGGTGACCTTTTGTTTTGCAAATCTTTATTGACCACCGAAAACTTTTAAATATCTGAGAATACATCACCTAGCAAAAGGAACCCAACGGAGCCCTTAAGAAGGTAACATACATAGTGGCGAGTGTGTTCTTGCCCTTCACTAAATCAGCCAAGTACGAAGTACAGTTTGAAACGATTTTGTCTCAGCTTGTTCTCTATTGCTGGGACGTTGTATGTGACCGGGTTCTACCCAGACTCCTTAGCTAATAGTTTACTCTATAATCTGAGAGTGCCTATAAAACAAAGTCCAGTTTTCTAGAGAGTAAAGACATCGATCCCAAACCGACTAGGTTATTACTCAAAACATCCTTTAAGGGCCTGGAGAGATGGCTCAACAGTTAAGAGGACCCAGGTTCAATTCCCAGCACCCCTATGGCCACTCACAACCATCTGTAACTTCAGATCCTGAAAATCTGATGGTCTACACCATGCAGCACAGGTAAAACACTCATATTAAAAAAAAATTCCTACGGCACTGGAGAGGAAGGCAGGAGGATCACGAGTTAAAAGACCTGTTTGCCTGGTCTTGGTGGCACACACCTTTAATCCCAGCACTAGGGAGGCAGAGGCAGGTGGATCTCTGTGAGTTGGAGGCTGCCTGGTCTACAGCGCAAGTTCCAGGACAGGTTCCAAAGCTACAGAGAAATCCTGTCTCGAAAATCAAACAAGCAGGAAAAAAACTAACTAAAAAACAAAACACCTGACTGGGTTTCCATCAGACCCGGTTTCAAAAGACTTGTTTTTTTCTTCTTTCTTTCAAGATTTTTACTTTAAGTGTAGGGTGTTTGACCTGCACATGTGTTTGTGCACCAGAAGAGGGCACCAAATCCAATGGAACCGGAGTTACAGAAGGTTGTGGCCGGTCGGTCCTATGGGTGCTGGGAATCAAACCGAGCTCTCTGGAGGGGCAACAAGTACTCTTAACCATCGAGCCATCTCTCCAGCCCTCGGTCGTCGTTGATTCCTAACCACATGTGTTAGGGTACGTGCACATGAGTTGCAAGTGCCCGCGGAGCCCGGCGCCAGAGTTGCATCTAAGATGCAGGACATCTGACCGACATGCGGCGGTGGCGGCGGCGGCGACGGTCTCCCTCCACACCTGCAGGGGGCAATCGACTTCCAGAACCGCCGCTGGACTCCGGGGCCCTCGGCTTCACCCAGGGAACGTCACCGCCGCTGGCCGCTGCTCCACCGCGCTACCGCGCAGGCGCCGAGAGCACCGCGCACCGCCGAGCCGAGGGAGGGGTCACGAACTCTGACCCCCACCCCCAAATCCACAAACCCAGAAAGCTCCCCTTGTCCCCCCTCGGCCTGGGGTCCCCTCGCGTCAGCTCTTTGCAGCCCAGCGGCCGTCGCGGCGGGAGGGGTAAGTCGGGTACGGGACGGGTCAACCGCCAAGTGTCGCGGCCCCGGGGGTGCCGAGCGCCCGAGTGTGCTAGCGCCCGGTCCGCCCGCCGAGTGCCCGGGAGGTGAGCGGACCTCCCGAAGCCGCGGAGCCCGGGCGGGGACGGTGACCTTTCACCCGCGGGGAACGCTTCCGTCTCGCTGCCGCTTCCTCCGCCCCGGGGCTGCGCGCGTGGTGGGTGGTGGGTGCTGGGCGGGGAGCGGCGGGCCGCGGACCCCGGGGCTATGGATGTCGCCCTCCGCCCGCACTTGACTCTTCTTCCAGCGAGAGGACGAGCAGCCGCTGCGATCGTGTCTAGGAGGAAAGGTGGCCCGCGGTATCTCATGCCCTGGGCACAGCAGAGCGCCCGGTAGCCCTTTTGTTAAGAATCCTGTCTCCAGTTCCTGCAGATGGCATCTTGTGAAAGGCAGATATGGCCAGGTTGTCCCTTACCCTTCAGTAAGTAGGTCAGCCTGCAGCCTGAGTTGGAAAGGACAAGCAAAAAAAAAAAAGACTTGAAGTTAAATCCTCTTAGGGCCTTTCCCACCCCTTGGAAGTTAAAAGTACGCCTTAGACTTTGAGGGAGGGGTTTTTGTTTGTTTTAAACAGTGTCTGCTTGTTTACCCGGTTGAGCGATTGTTTTTAAACTTTGTGTCCGCTTTGGTAAATTTGGGAAGAAATTATTGTTCTGTTCTGTTCTAACTGCAAAGATGAAAAGAAAATCGTTTTGGGAGCATATTTTAGGAATTGAAAGTTGGGGGACAGTAAATTAGGGAAGATTCCAGGAAAGTGAGGAAAGTGGGAATTTATTGTGGACCATTTAATATTGATGAAGAAAACGTTGGATGACCCGTAGGAGCCAGGCTGATGAAGCACACTTGTAATCCTAGGTCTCTGGAGACTGGGGCACCAGAGGTGGCCTGGCCTTCCAGGCCAGGCTGACTTAGAAGCTGTGTATCCAAACCCCAGAAGACTTGTCGATGATAAAGGAAAGATAGTATGTCCTCTAACCTTTGGATGTGTGTCTTGAACCTTTGGATACAACGTAATTTTTCCATTTGCTGTCACTCCAGAGTCTTGTGGTGGAAGGGTGGTGGTCACTAAAGTTCATGTGTCCCAGTCAGGCTTCTGTACTGCTTCCTGAGAGCCTCTGGACTCTGGCTTATGAAAGCTGTTTTAATGTTTCTTTCATTGTCATTCATGAAGATATGTGTATCTGTTACCCCAAAAACAAAACAAAAGCACACGTGGTGGTGCCAATAAATGTAACTGGTTTCATCGTTCTGTATAAAGCAGTTGAAAGGTTTTGAAGGGTGCAAAACCATGGCAACAAACCATATATATCTAGTGTGGATGTGATGAAGTATGTAACTCCCACCCCAGTGATGGCCAAGACAAACTTATAACACTGTAAGACCCTCTGTGCGTACACACACACACACACACACAGACACACACTGCTACTACTACTACTACAATCTTTTAAAACTTTCTCTAGAAAAATGGGCCTCTGTTCAAAAATTTTAGGTATTCGTAGAAGTCTGTTCTTGAGTCCCAGACAACTCTTCCTGTACACAGTCTACACTGGATCATCCAAAAATAGTGTGTAAAGTGGAATTTGATTTGGGTCTCAGAGGTGAAATAGAAGATTAAAATGGGGGGTATTGTCGACATTGAATTCCATGGTTTCTGTTCAGCATGAGGAGCTGCTGAAGTTTTACCTTGGGGAATCCCTCCATAGGGAATTCTTTGGACCAACTTCGTGCTTTGTAAACATCTTGACATTCGGCACATAGCACTGAAATTTAAAGGAATATGAATTTGTGATTTTTTTCTGGGGAGGGGACTCTATCAGATTTTTCGGGAAAAAAATCATTTATGTGTATGGATGTTTTGCCTGCATGTATGTATCCAGGGTGTACAGTGCCCTTGGGGGCAGAAGAG